CGGACCCGAGGGTTCCTTTTATCCCGATGGGGGGGGGGGGGTACGTGTCCCCTTAGACCCCTAGCTACGCCACTGTTTCATACGCATCATGTCAGGTATTTTAGGCTCGCCCCCCCAACTTGAAAATCGTTCCCGGGCCCCTGCAACAATGTTTGGTGTGCCTGTCGCTGATTTTATGGCAGTTGACAGCAGTTACTTTATTACCGGGCACATCTCTCATTTACTGCGGCTGCAGTGGCCTCTAACCTCACACCCTTTCGGCACGCACACTGCCGTCTCCTCCCGTCGAGACCTGTTGCGGCACCTATTCACCACTGCACGTGCGGGCTGGGCCTGGCAGGGATCGGTTACGCACGGGCGTGCCCAACTGACTGAGGTTACCTGGCGAGCTGTGTTGTGCGTTCTGTGAACGGATGCAGTCCGTGTGTGCGGTATACTTGAGCTCAGCTACTGTATTGGAATCGGGTATTAGCGTGTTAATGGGCTTATTACGGGGAATGTGGCCATACCAGGCTGATGTTCGATTGGGGGCTGAAGCAGAGTTTATGCGCCGAAAAAGGTTACTGATTATTTAGACAGTCGCATGTAGACAAAAGATACCTACTATAGACCAAACCAAATGACATCTAACTTACTATTCTAACAGAATCCGTCTGTCTGTGAGTGTGTGTGTGTGTCCGCCACGCCGTGTAGTGGGTTCAATTTGTTACGGCTTCAGGGCAGACGGTACGACGTAGGGGGTTGAAATTTGCACACCTTCTAGGTGACAGAGCGGGTCAGCGCCTTTTCTAGGTTCCGACTCGCTGGGGTGCACGGTTGGCACGTGGCGCGCGCTGGAAGAACGCCAATGAAATTTTGATCGGTTCGTAGATCTTCATTGAGAGCCGGGGTCGACAAACTTTGTGGACTAAATGCATGCCGATCGGCGGCGGGTGCCTCGCATTGGCGGATGGGCAAGTTTTAATTTGAATAAAAAGTGGCGAGAGAATGTGTTGATTGTTGCTAAATGGGTGCAGTTTTTGATAGGTATTTACAAATGCACCGCGTTTGCCGCAATGCGTCACATTTGTCCCAAGGCTCCATCTTCGTCGCAAATCGCACAGTTTTGTCAAATATAGTCCGATATGGGTGCAATTTGGTGCCAAGATGCATGCTCAATCGCCGGGTGAAAATGCGCCGCGTTTGTCGCAATGCGCCACATATGCCACAAAGCGCCATTTCCGACAAATACGATTAAGCGTAATGGAATGGCACGAATAGGGGCAGGGCTGGGAACACTTTAAGTCTGATATTTTAGTACTGATTGGATCCAATTATTCTGTGACCTGACATGACCCGGCGGTGTTGGTAGGGGTAGTTGTACGGGTAGTGGTAGGGGTAGGGGTAGGGGTAGTGGTAGGGGTAGTGGTAGTGGTAGTGGTAGGGGTAGTGGTAGTGGTAGGGGTAGTGGTAGTAGTAGTGGTAGGGGTAGTAGTAGGGGTAGAAGTAGGCGTAGTGGTAGGGGTAGTAGTAGGGGTAGGGGTAGGGGTAGATGTAGTGGTAGGGGTAGGGGTGGGGGTAGTGGTAGGGGTAGTGGTAGGGGTAGTGGTAGGGGTAGTGGTAGGGGTAGTGGTAGGGGTAGGGGTAGTGGTGGAGGCAAAAGCAGAACAGTGGCCCGGGCTGATCCCAGCGGACGAGAGGTGACCTATGTGACCTGGCCTGACCCAAAGTGACCGGGGCTGACCCCTTTGACCCGTCTTGACCCCATATCACCCAAATTTCATCCAACAACGCCCTCAGTTCAGGGTGTTGCCAACAGTTCTTTTTAAATTCTCTTCACATTTCCGTCCATATCTATGCTTCTAGACGACACATCGACATGAATCAAACACCATTCGAAAGCAAATTGGCTGGTGCCGCAATTTTTTCTACCACGCAGCAAAGCAAGTGGCGCAGCCGCTTGTCTATATTACTATTTGAGGAGGGTGCGTCTGTCCGTTACCGAGGTCCCGACTTGGTGGTGCTTTGCGTGGACTACAGGCCAGACCGTTGCACCTAGCGCGGTTAAACTTGCACAACTTATAGATCAAGGATGCGCGACGTGCCTTTGAGGGGTCTGGGCTCGATCGGATTGATAGGGAGCGCGTGGTGCGTGCTCAAAAAGTGCAAATTCGCGTCATATACTTTACATGTATAAATCGGCGTGCGAAATCGGGCGAAAATGGCTAATTTTGGCCGACACGGGTCCAGTTCCCGTGCAATATCTTGGTGACCAGGGATCCGACCGGCACGGGGAAAACAGCATCGTGTACAGAATTGAACGGGCTATTGAATGGTGTGCAATGCAGAGGATAGCACGCGCCACGTGCACCGGAGAGGGCACTTTTATTTGAAAAATTGCGGTTTTTGAGGGATTTTGGAATTAATTTTATTTTTTGGTGACCGTTAAATGGAGCGAGTTGAATCAACGCCTATTTGCAAGAGAAACGTACCGCCTCTCATATAAAAATTGTGAAAAGCTGATTGATCCAAATCAAGGTGGTGCAAATCACAGGAGAAAATGGTGTTTGTCAATTTTGTGCCACTTTATTAATCACACGGGGTTTGCTGCATAACCTGATACCTTTGGCAATTGAATATGGTACCATTGGATAGAGCATTCAATTCTGTCCAATATTCACTCTTCATTTTCGCATGATTAGCAACAGTATCCTTAAAAATGTAAATGTTCCAAACCATTACATTGTCATTTTTAGCGAAATTCATCGATGGCCCTCAAAAGACTTCACGCCAGTTTTCGAATCATTCTAAAGTAGAACGCATGATAATACGACACGGGCACCTCGATGCGATGTATCTTTTTGTTTTCTTACAAAATGCTTGGCCGTCAAAAAGCAATCGAACGAAATGGATATCTACCAACCAAATCGACACAGACCAACCCAATACCCACGGGTCAAAAAATCCCCCCTTCGCGTTGCGGAGCACGCGGGTAACCCTAGTATGCTTCTATAATGTGTCGTCTAAATCGTACCTGATCGATCTCTCCATTTACCAAAGATGTGAACCGATACTGTTTCGTTATCTGTAACCAAGTTGGTAATGACTTACAATGACGATCCTCCCTCTCGCCGCCTCTCCTTCAGCGTCTCTTATCACGCCGTGTGACATGTGCCCCGCGGCCGTGCGCTTAGTGACTGACGGTGATCAGGGGTCGCAAAGTAGGAGGGTGACTCATCCTCAGGGCCAGGTCAATAGAGTCATTTGGCCACCGGGGGGGGGGGGGGGTACCTGGGGTCCAGAGGGGGCTGTGGTGTCTCTGCAGGTGGCCAACTTGGCCAGCTGCTGATGGGTAAGGTAGCGTGGTATGCATAGTTTGCGGCTCGTTTGAGTGCATTGTTTCATGTAATATCATGTCGTATGTTCAGTTTTGACGGAGATATCCAGCGCCTTAGCCTCTGACTAGTTTATGAGAGGGCTAAGGTACAAAGGTCAAGAAGATAAAGTCGAGGACTTCGAAATTGGAGGTCAGCACGGACCGATATCGATGTTTCATTATCAAAGTTTTGTGCTGTGGAGCGTTGACACATATGGCACATCCGCGATTATGCGTTTCCTGTCGGCCACCATCGACCGCCTTCAACGTTCCCAATCACCAGTGAAAATCTCGGTCCAGATTGACGTGCCAATTGCCATGTGAAAATTGCATAGCGGCGCCAAAGGCTGAGTGGGATGGTGGCCGAACTGATCGGAGCGGGGGCGGCAATGACCCGACCCGGGGGCGGGGCGGCGGTGACCGACCCGGGGCGGGTGCGGGGGCGGCTATGACCGACCCGGGGGCGGGGACGGGGGCGGCGGTGACCGACCTGGGGGCGGCGGCGGTCCGTCAGCGGCCCGTTTGTCAGGCCGGCAGTACAGAGCCGTGCGCGCTAGATCGTGTTTACCGCGACGTGTGCCGACGAGCTGACGATGAGACGCGCCAGCCCCGCCGTGCTGACGGATCGACTCCGGTCGGCGGCACCTCATGGAGGGCGACCTCTTAGGAGCCGTGTTCTGAGGGCGGTAAACCGTGTTCGGTGGCTGTTCTGTAAACCATGTTCTGGAGCTGCTCCGAAGGTTCAAAAGTGGGGAAGGTCGGGCCATTATGAGCAGTACCGGTAGGGTCATGACGAAGTAGATGGAAACTTCTGTGACCTCTCATTCGTCTCAAGTTGCCGGTAGTGTGTTATTTTCTTCTGGCAACAACTTGTTCACCATTTTTCGTTTGAGCTAGTTTGAATGATACTGTGAGCTGTGAGGACTGTGAACTCGTTCCGGGTTATGACGTCCAGCGCCACTGTCGCATCTCTGATGGAATACTGCCGTTGTCTCATAGTCCCGTTCAAACATCCAAACACTTTTTTTTAACAGACGCTCAAACACCGTCATTAGCACCCATTGCATTCTTCCAGGCACCGCTAGCCAGGGATAGTTAATGAGAGGTGTCAACAGGTAATCAACGTAATCACAGGCAGGGTAATTGAAAACACCGACCGACGTAGGTAGCTAGCTCGCTATCCTCCTATGAGTTGTTCCTTTCTGGGAGTATGCCGAAAAAATTGGTTACTACACGACTCAAACCGGTTACTTGCTTGTTTTTCAGCACGATACTATGTTTTACACTAGAGTTAGACGTAGCGCACGCAATTTGTCTTTTGACGGCAGTTTCTCCCTTAGATGATGGGAGTGATTGGGATGATAACTATAAGGCTCTGGTATAAACATTGAGCGCGATCGGAGTATCATTTTAACATGTTTGATTGATTTATCATCGTCAATTCGGTTCTCTGACGGCTATTTATTTATTCTTTGAATCTCTGTCAGTCAGACGAAGCGTCATTGGGTTACAACTTACACCCCAGAAGGTCATTGTCCCCTATTTGTAGTTTTGTGATTTTCAGACATATTTCGGTCCTGCGATGTCTCTTCTACAGCGGGTTCTCGGGACAAGTACTGACTACTCCATGCTCTCTGTGTTTCAGGCCTCCATGGACTTGCCGCCGGATAAGGCCAAAGTGCTCCGTCAGTACGACTGTGCTCGGAAGTGGGAGATGATCTGCGACCAGGTATGTCAATTTATATCTCTCATGAGCTGTCTCGCCCCCACCCGTTCTCCCTCTCCGTCTTCGTATTCCTTTCCCTCTCCCTCTTCCTCTTCAGTCTTCCTCTCCCCTTGCTCTCTTTCTCCATTCCTCTCTCTCTCTCTCTCTCTCTCTCTCTCTCTCTCTCTCTCTCTCTCTCTCTCTCTCTCTCTCTCTCTCTCTCTCTCTCTCTCTCTCTCTCTCTCCCCCTCCACACCCTGCCCATCCCGTTCGCTCAGACCGACACCCTCCTAAGCCCTGGCGATGATGCGCCCGACGATGTTCAACTGTCGTTGCATTGACGTCAGTACCGTGATGTCCGATGATGGCTATGATGTGCTCGACGACTGTTACCAAGTCAGCCTCTGGCTCTCCTAATCATGCTCGGCTGTGAGAGTCAGCAGAGTAGTTCGAAGGTCTTTGGTGGCGACTCGCACTGACTGTGACCCACTATGTACACACTCCGCACTCTGCAGTCAGCACTCCGCAGTTAGCACTCCGCAGTGGGCACTCCCAGCCGTGTTTGATCGCCAGCCTTATCCGCGCAGCTCCGATGTTGGCCCAGCTTTGATGTCGAAGTCGTGGCGTATGCTAAACATAGCGGATGCCCGGGTCGTAATTCATGCAGAGTTCTGCATGCCATTTTCGTTCCAGGAAACAGGAGCCGCCGGTTGGTAACTGGTTCAGTGCCAAACATTGTTGCACCATTTCAGTGATTGGTTGGATGGTTAGTAGCTTCGTCACCGCGTCGTCTGTTTGTTTTGAGTTGACCGTTGTCAGAATCTCCTCTGGCGTTTCTGCAATCCTGTTTTATTGCTCGCGCTTAGGACGCAGTGCTAGTTCGATATTTGTTGACTCGTGCAGCTGATAGTCCAACTTGGTGCGGCGTATGACCCACTCGTAAGTTGGAGCCGCTATGTGGGTGTTTCATAACACAAGCGTTATCTAATCGTGGCAATCGAACGCTGTTGAGAGATCGTCTGGGTCCGGTATTGACTCCATCATCACTCCGCTGCCCTCTTGGCTCACCCCGGTAACTGCCGTGTGTTGGGAGTAGACCGCCGCGGCCTGGCCCAGTGCCAGCACTCTGTTGGGGTCCGACTCTCGTATTCTCGTTGGCCTCCCCTCGCCGCCTCCCAACCCGTCCGTCCTGGCGCTTTGGAGCCACTCCTGTCCCGACGGCGACGGTCCGCGGCGTGGCTGAGGTGTCACAGGTGTACCGCCCTCCCTCTCTCCCACCCCTCGCTCTTTCTCGGCCCCACTCTGTCCCGCTCCCGTCCACCCAGCCCGTCTACCCCACCGGCGCGGCCCGTTGGCACCGACCTCGGTCGGCCGGCGCTCGCCGTATCGGGTGTGAAAATCTCGGCCCGGTCCGCCACGCCGTGGTCCGCCGGCCGGTCCGGCACCTGCCCTGTTTACCACCGTCCGCAGCGGACTCCGCCGTCCGCAGCGGACTCCGCCGCGCCGGCGGAGGGCGGTGAGCGGTGGGCGGAGGCGGTGGGCAAGGGTGGAGCGCTCCGGTCGCGGCCACGCAAAAACAAACGCTGCTCGGACGACCGTGCAGCGGCGTCGACAAGCTCGGTAGGCGGCGGCTGCTGAGAGGGCCGCCGCGCCGGCTCTGGGCAGTGGCCACCACGGGCGGCGGCAGGACCCTCTGAGAGAGCTGAGGAGGCTGCTACTGACGACTCTACCAGCCTTCCGGGTCTCATCGCGTCAGACCACTGACGGGCTTCGGTGGTGCTCCATGTCAGCTCCCGTGCTGCCGTGCTCTCGTAGACTGCCGTGCAGCCACAAACGAAGCCAATACCCCGGCTCCCACACTACCGCTGCATATCGAATGACTCAGATGCTTTTCGCCCATATTTATTTAGTATTGCATGCTTGTCGTGCGCGTTGGCTGTTTTCACCACAAAACTTTGAAAAGGGTCATGATCAAAGTTCCAATGTCTCCGCTGCTATCAATCACTACCTCACGCCACTGTTAGAAAACCTTGCAAACGTTGCAAGGTCTGGCAGAAATCTGCCGTTTTTCGATTGATGTAGATTTTGTGGGTTTTAGAGTCTATTTCCGAGCGGGAGTTTTGTGTCATATCTGCCGACAATTTACCATCAGCGGCCCAATGGCACTCTTAACCCTGGCGTCCCCTGCGCTATCATATGTAGCCGAAGTGTGTTTATCGTTTATCCAAGTGTATCGGAGACTTACAGCCGGCACACCGCAGATCGCTGCTACGGTCGCCAGACTCCCACTAACCGATACCCTGAGCAATGTTTATAGAATGAGTAAGACAAGAAAGAAGGACGATTTACGACGATTGATTAGAAACGCGGGACAACCGTCATGTTGTGCCGCATATGCCGTCTTCGGCACAACTCTTAACAGATATCTTTTGGTACTCTTTTGGTACTATTTATTTTTAATTAGTTTCTTATCAATAGGCAATCAAATTCATCATGCCACATCAGCAGTGGTTTTTGCTGGCCTTGCGCCATCCATCATTTGAGCGGTGCTTTTCTGATGCCTTCAAACGCAAAGACGCTTATGTCTATCTTGGTGGTTGGTTTGTTTTGGCCCGTATCTCGGCGGTGGCCTTTGATGCACACAGGGAGCGGCTATTCAGAGGCGGGGCTCACCGCGGGTGGATGGGGCCTGGCTTCATCCACAGGCTCGACTGTGGTTGATAAGGACTCACTGCATCCACAGGCCTCAGTGGAGGACCATGAGCTGCACCATTTACACTATCAGGGTTTCCGCTGATAGCATTCCCGGGGTCTGCAGGTGATGACGACGTTGTATATTTGTTTCTGTATCCACCGCTTGGTAACAGCGCTGCATAATAAGCTGCTTTCTGCAGGACTCCTCCTTTCACCACAGTGTCACCCTTATCCTACTCTTATCCTACTCTTTATATGTGCTACATTCGCAGCAGAATCTACATAAGCACCCATCCTTCCCCAGCCGACCTGATGTTTCGTCCCACGTCTGCGCCGTCGGCAGGATGACGTGAGCCAGCAGTGACGTGGGCTATTTGTGACGCCACTGACGTGAGACGCGCACCAGCTGCGGGCGATCCGACACCGCGCGGGTGCCCACATCTGCTCCCCCTCCCTCTCCCTCCCAGCGCCTGCTGCGACCCATCCCCCGACCTGTCCCTCTAGGCGTCTTGTGGGGGTGTGGGAGTGCGTGGGTGGGGATAATGCTGGACTGACCAGGTGGAGTGGACGTTCGCGTTAACTTTGAGCTCTCCGCCGCGTCTACCACCCGGCTGCCGTTTGGGTGATTCCTGTAGGGATGGAGTGAGCCACGGGAGGCGCCTGGTCACCTGCCTCCGCCGCTGGGCGGGTGTGAAATGCCCCGCCACGCGCCGGGCGGGCCGACGGCCATTGTGATGGTGGTCGGCCCCACGCGCCGGTCGGCCGTAGAGGCCCGGATCGGGCGGGACGGACGAGACAGGAAAGAGGGAGGGGAGGGGGACAGGGAAGGACCGTGGACTGAGGGACGATTTGTGAGACAGGATGGAGTGAAACAGGCGGTAGAAAATTTGGTAAAGGAGACACATGAGATGGACGAGCCGAAAGTGAAAGAGCTAACAACGACGATAGACAGGTCACAAAACGGCAGGTTCCTGAATTGATTTGAGCCTCCCTAGTCGACAGTCGTGCATTCCCTACCACCGACTCTCTGTCAGTCTCTATATATAGAAGAAGACATTGCACGGTCCTGTACCTTCCTCATTTGCGGTTTCTGCCTAATGCCTATCCATCGGTCTTCACCTGGCCTCAGACGAGACTTGCAAGTCTCGTGAAGCGAACTCGTCGGGACGAGCCCACGGGGAGTGAACGCCAAGCCCTGGAGTGGACAGGTATCGCCCGGGCATCTGCGGAATGTCGACACGCCCCTCTTGACGTGCGGTCTTTGAGCTAATGGGACGCGCGACCAGGCGAAGGCTTTCACGGTTCAGTCAACAGTGCTTTCTGAGGGGCGGCAAGGAGCTGCCGTGGGGTGGTAGACGGGGGATGGAGGTTAGGTTATAATGGTGCTGTGCGGGCAAACTGAAGACGTAATGGGGTTTGTATTTCGTACTGCAACATGCAAAACATAAGCACATGTCTGTTAATGCTATTGTTTGTTGACTAAACACGCGATCAGTTGTTATATTGCTCCATTATTTGTCAACTATCCTGCAAAACACTTGGTTTCGGGACCATCTAACGTGCTTCCTGCGCCGTTTTTATAGACTGCTCAACCACTGCCGACAATTACCTAACAAATACGGTCTCTCAGAGGTCAGTTGACTCACCCCGAATCAGTCTAGCCTTGCCCTTGTTTCACTGTGTGGTCCGTTACGCTACGTCTGCCCGTCCGTGTGTCTTTGTGCGCCCCGCGGCTCACCTCCTGCCGTGCTGGTGGGCCGTTCGGGCGGTCCGGTCCGGCGGCCCGCTCGTGCATTCCGCGCGGTGGACAGGCGCGGCTGAGGTGTCAGGCACAGCCGGTCTCCGCGCCAGCCGACTGGTTTGTCGCAGCCCGACCGGTCGCTAAGTGGTATCGACAGACCGACAGGCAATTTGGAGCCGCCCTCGGCAGCTGACGTCTGCCGCGCCGAACCGGTTACGCAATGAGGACTGATCGCGCGCCGGCGGCTGCTTATCTGTCCTCAGCACCTGCTGATCCGGGGTTTAGGCTGCTGCTGAGCCAGGGTGACTGCCGCTGATGGTGACTGATGCAGCACTGAGAATTATGGTTGTTTATACAGTCAGAGCAGTATGGAACACTGAACATTGAAGTTTAAAGCCTTCAGGGCTATCTAAGGAGGCTTATTTTCCGCTCAGTTGATTGACTTCGACCGCCCTCGCTGTCACTGACGTGTTCCTACTAAGTTCGCACGATTAAAGCTGTTATTTACAGACTATATTTTTATCACCGACTCTTACGGTCTAATTGACCACAGACCACAAATTTCCAGACGGGTCGCCCGTAATTGAGCTCTTTTCGGTTCTGTACGGACCATAATGGAGCCAATTTACGGTGGCCTATTACCAGCTAGTGGTGCCGTCCAGATGGACAGGGAAACTAAACACCTTTTTAGAGCTGACCTTGTTTGTTACTAAATATAGCGTTATAATGGCATAACGGCATCCTGAACGTCTCTCTTTCCCGACCGCCCCTGCCCACTGCAGTCTCAAACAGCTCACCGGTCGGTTTGACAAGCCTCGCCGGCGGCTGGCTGGCCGGCAGTGGCTCTGTCCCGGCTCCGAGGCCAGTCCATGGCTTCCGCTGGTTAGATGGCTCCATCAGGGCAGAACCAAGTGGGATGGCCTCGGCGACTGGTGGTTAGATGGGTGCGCGACCCACCAGCTCGCAGATCTGTTCCGCCATGCGTTCTGTTTCATCACCCGCTATACTCACCCTTCTCACCCTTCTCACTCTGCTCACATTTGCTCACCTCTCTCACCCCATACCACTCCCGGATAAAGTCTGAAGACGCTGCTCTACTGGCCCGGTCCCTGCGGTCACGCCGTGACCAGCGGTGCTTTTACGAGCGTGGGCGGCCGGTCGGCGGGCGGGCGAGGGTGCTCCGTGACCCCGCACCGGCTCTGACCTCAGACGTGACTCGGTCGTGAGGTGTTCGTGAGTAGTTCGTGAGTCGCCCGTGAGTTGTTCGTGAGGAGTCTGAGGGTCCTGGAATGTCGGTGACGGTGTGAAATGTGAATGATACTAGTGAGGGCGTTGAACATCTGAACAATGAAGGTGGCATTGTTCGACGGATAATAAAGATTACTGTGATATTGTCCGCCCCAGTAAGTCATCTCAAAGCTGGTATGTCAGACTGATGTCGGACATTTTCTTAAATTTTGATTTATTTCCCCTGAAGGCCAGCTGCTTTTTTCCTACTGCTGCTTTCTTTTTCTATTTCCTTCGCATAATTCATCCAATTTGATGTGATGGATTGCCGTGTATAATTATATAGAGAAGCTGTCCCGATGTTCCCTTCTGGACAGCCCAGTACGCATTCCGTACCCCTCCTCTCATCCAATCGTATCGACGTACTTCCTTCGGCCCCAATGCATGTGAAATGTGAATCAGTGTCCGTTTTTGTTCCGTTTCTTCTCCCCACACCCTGACCGACCCAACCGCATCTTCGGAGCCTCTCTCCCTCTCCAGCCCTCTCTCTCTCTCTCTCTCTCTCTCTCTCTCTCTCTCTCTCTCTCTCTCTCTCTCTCTCTCTCTCTCTCTCTCTCTCTCTCTCTCTCTCCACCACTGGTCGTGACGTCACACGCACACTGGTGACGTCACGTGGCAGCCGGAAATGCTCTGTTTCCGGGTGTCGTGTTTGTTGTGAGCAGTGATGTCTCCTCTGGGTGGGCGACTCTGGCGATGTGTCACACAGGTTTCTGGTTCACTGGGGTCGCTGGCAGATGATCAAAGGACCACCAATCCAGCGGGACATGACCGTGTATTTTTGGCTTCGCTCTGAAACTAATTTGACCTCCCTGGCATGCGGGTTTAAGACGTAGTCGTAGAAGATTAAAAAACAACGGCTTGTCATGCTGGGAGGTTGAGTCCAGCATCACTCAGGGGTGATATATTGCAGTGTTTGCCGTGAATCTGTTTTGACGTGATATTGACCTTCACCAATAGCGCGGTGCGTACGGTGCGTCAAACATGTACCGTGTGCTAACAAAGCGGCGGGTGGCGGTGCAGGGAGCGTTCAGCGTGCTGACGCGGCTCGTTTGTTTTACAGGAGCGTGTATCTGCCAAGCAGGCGCCGGCATACTACCTGAACAAGCTGCGCACATACCTCGACCCGAAGGCGTCGAGAAGTCACAGGGTGAGTCGACTAATCGCCGCGCATTGTCGGTACCGATTTGATGCTTTGGAAAGTGTGATTAAGCTGTATTTTATTTTACTGATAGATGGTCACCTGGATATGTATTTTGAGCGAGAGGTTAACCTCTAGCATACTGCTTACAGTGACACACTGTGTGTGTCGAAAACTTGTTCAGTACACGCCACCTACTACACTTCTTATCGCGGTTATTTACCATGCCCAATCTGAAACCAGTAGTTCACTGTGCATACCTGTGAATTCCGCCCGCCCTGGGCTGCTGTTTAGTGCGGAGCGACCTTCCGTCGCCACAACCTTGCCGCCAGCGGGTCTGTGGCTTCGACCGTGGCTGGAATCAGCCGCAGGGCCGCTTCGGTTTGGGACGGTCCGTGAACAAGACTGCTCACGTGCATCAAAACTGTTCCGTTCCAAATGTTACTCGTTGAATGTATCAGGGCCACTTCCCAGTCTAATCGGCTGTACTTCGGTCTGAATTTCGTAAAATATTCACCCGCCAGGCTCCCGTGGAATGACATTGCAACATTGCGACAGGATTGTGTTACAGTCTGGTGAGCGCCGATATTGGTGTTGTGTGAAGCAGACACCAAAACCACGGTAGTGGCGCCTTCGAATAGGCCACTTTAGGTGGAATGCTGAGTGGTCGCGGAACGGTATGCTCGTTGCGTAATGCATGCGTAATTCTGAGGAATGCCACTGTCTTGGTCTCGGTGGGTGACGTGGCAATGCATTGTTCGCGGATTTTTGAAAACGCCAAGTGATAGCTTGTATCGCTTGCATTCTTCAATGATAAGGACTAAGGAGCGACCGATGGAAATAATATTTTGCATTAAAAAAGCAGCAGCACAATAATCCTTGAAGTGTGATTGCATTTTTAGAATGGAGTTATATCATGGAAGACAGTAGGTCACTATGTTGATACCGTAGAAGTGCCAAGTGGTTTCAATATTCGAACGTGTTGCTATCAAGTATCTTTTTCGGTGGTATGCTTCCTGTAGAAGTTGCCAGAATTTCACGGATAATACGTCACGTCCTTCATACACAGCGCGTCGTAACTCGGCAGGAGCGTCATTGACCCGTTTATCTTTGATTCTGCGACGTTCAATGATCATCATTGTTACTGAGTACCGCTCTTGTGGATGTGATTGTTTCCGTTGGAATCGTCTGCGCACCGATAGCACGTGAAGTGCACTATCAGCTTCTGATGTCAACACCGATTGCAGCTACTTTTTAAAATCATCGATTGCATCGAACTGACTGTCCCCCTTCTCTCCAGTGAATGGACATCAGCGTAAGTTCTGCCATTTTCGGGAGGGCCGGCTGATACTCAGTTCCGATATTTACCTTGAGATATTTACTGTGAATATCTAGTCACGCTCGACGGAAGTGATTAATGGTTCTAGGACCGGTTTACCTTATCTTGCTAACGATAGCGAGTATCGTGAGAAGTGCTCTAGGGAAACGTGAAGTGAAATAAGTCAATATGAACTGGCGTGCTGTCACTAACTAAACATTACTTTATCGTTTTCGTATCGCTTTGCCAAGTCCCACGTTAAAGCCCTAAGTTACAGAACGTAAGACTTCGCTAGTTTAACTGTCCGAATATGTAAAAATATGGTGTCCGATGGCTGCCCAATGATCGTGATGTCAACTTGATTGCAAGGTGGACAGGATGACTGGCCGTCCACCCAGCCTTCCTCCGCTGTGCTGCTCGGTGATGACCAAATACAGCCATGATGCGGGCGTATTGCTGACGGAGTGACGGGCAGCCCCGCGACGGCCGGGCGTCCTCCCTTTCCGTATACAGTCAGTGGGCCGGGCGCCGCGGCGCACCGCTGCTCCAGCTGCAACGCCGCCGCTGCTGTTGCGAATGGAGCTCGGCGAGCCCGTGTGCATAATGCCTTCGCCGCCCCCGTCTGTGGCTGTGCATACCTGGCGGAGGGCTGTTACCGTGCCGCAGCGAAAGGCGGACGGCGGGTCCGCAGCCCCGGCCGCCCTGCCCCTACCTGTGGCGCTCGCCGCCGTCCGCCGCTCGGGTCGGGGCATTAGCATGAGAAAGAGGCGGCCGACGTGCGCGGCCTAGCAGCGCTGCCCTCTCGGCCCCCGCGGAGCACGGAGAAGCCCAGAGCGTGGAGCGTGAGGAGCGCGGTCCCTGGCCGGCGCCACTGCTAGGGTACGGCAGGCTGGGCGGCGCGACAGGACCTGCCGCACGCAGCTCCGGGGCTCGCGTGCCTGCTCGACTGGTATTTGTTACAGGGTGACGCCTAGCGTACGGACAGACTATTGAGTACCGTTTAGAGACGTGCCAGTCGATTTGTATGCTGGATGAAGAGCCATCGGAGCCATGTCTGACAGGGTGGATGCCATATTCATATGTCGAGAGGAATGTGGCAGCTGACAGGCTGGACATTGCTCATCGCCAGAACAAGACTCTGACATGTCACTCCGTTATGTCCCTATGGATGCCTGTCGTCGTTAAAGTGTGACACGTGAAGATGATTTCACATTCTTCTTGTCGCATTGTCCACTTCCAGGCATGGCCGACCAGTGACTTGTCCTGTAGGAGCGAACTTTCTTGGTGATAGATCAAAAGTTGCTTTCTAACAAGCTCCACCGGCGACCACGTTTGGATGGATGCTCCAGTCAACAATCCTTGGCTTTAGTAAATGGTTACGGCACACTTAGTCCCGGAGGCTTCGTAGTAAACTGTCTTGCAGTTGCGACGTTCCGTCAGGGCTGCCGTCCCGCCCCGGCTCGTCTTTCTGTTTGTGGTGAATTATGTCACACTAACACAGCTGAAGGCCGCAGCGGGTTCGTTTAGCCGCCGCTGCCGTTCTGTATCTCCCGTGACCTTACGTGACTTCGAGCCGTCTTGTGAGGCGGAGTGACGTGGAAGTGCGTGCAGGATCGATTTAACTGCGTGCTAGTTTGCTGCAACTTGCCTCCGCTGCCAGCACCGGACAGAGTGGAGACGGGGGGAGGGGATAGGGAGAGGAGGGGCCGCTACTGTTTGTGCTGCAGCTCGACAGGTAACCTAAGCTCTTAGGACGACTCGAAACGAGCTCCACCTTGAAGCTTGAGAGTGGTTTAGTCACTACAGCGAGACCCGTCTTCCCTGTCTGCTCTGCAGCCGAGCTACGACGCGGGCTATCTCCGAGTGAGATCTAAATAGTGCGTCTAAATGTCGCGTGGAGCGCATCGCGTCCGGTCTCGGTCCTGTACCGCGGACACTGGCGCCTCTGTCGTGAGACACGGCCCATGGCGTGACGCGTGATGTGCGGACACGGCTTCTACATTAGGGAGAGCCTCTACATTTGTCTGCGGTCTCCACATTTGTCATACGCGGCTTTCAAGTCTGAGAGGATTGCTAGAAATGCTGAGTACGGCTATTCGTCAGTGTCTGATGTGAAAAACATCGCGATGCATATAAGGAAAGCTTATCTAATCCCAAATTTATCATGTGTACTGCAACTGTGACCTGACCCGACCCCGAGTGGCCTCTCACGCTGTTGGGTCCTGTTGACTATTGAACATGCTGCTGAGTTCTCTGGCCTCTGACCTCTGACCCGACCCCTGACAATACGGTTCATTCTATTGCAGAAACGGCGGCTGATGGGAGACTCGACCTCGACTCAGGTTCTTCGCGACCTAGAGATCTCTCTCCGCACCAACCACATCGAGTGAGTACCGGCCTCGGGCTACAGTCGACACACATCGGACTCTCACACTGGATGTGTGGCAAGGTCGGGTATAGGATTCCAGGTAGATGCGCTTAGCGACTAGGTAGTTCCCGGTGAAGGCAGCCTTAACTTTTTTGTTCCTCGGTATGTTTCACTCGGCCGACATAAGTTACTGGAGCTGATTTACCAGGGGTAATATGTTCGTCCCATATACATAGTCCCGCCTCGGAGCACTGTCCCTGTGAGCGATATACCAGTCGCCGTGAGTGATATACCACACAGCACGGGGCAGTGAGACGTGGTGGGTGGGCACTGGGCTGTAAAGCCACCCGAGGATCACGACTGTCGGGCCCGGCCGTCTGTCACGGCGACAGAAACCCGGTCTGTCCAATTCGGCATCAAAACCGAGCCAGCCCCTGCCGTCATAGTTAGGTTAGCTATCGAGCATCTATGGATATCATTGATAGATTGACGCCACAGATCAGCTGTAACGTCATGAGCGGCTGTCCCCACCTCGCGCTTAAGTCACCGACACGTCGGCTCCACATCTCGGCGGCGCCATGCTCTGTTGGATGTCAGCCCCGATCATCTGACTCCGTCCCGGTGGCTGTCGGCCGCCTCGGTGACCGACCGACCGGCCGGCGCCGCCGACACGACCTCGATAGTGATCCAAACAGGAGCCGCGGCGGCGGCTTCTCGGAGCTCGACCGCCGGTCGCCACCCATCGGGCGTGCTGAGCCAGCGACGAGCCGGTCAGGGTGGTGGCGAGAGCGGCCGGCCGGCCGGCGCCGGTCTGTGATACGCCGTCTGCGAGGATTCCGGCTGTGGAGATGACGGTCCGATGACTGCTGAGCGCTGAGTGCTGAGCTGGTGCTTGTCACCGCCCGCCTCTGCCGCTGCTGACGCGGCGGGTCATCAAATGTGTTGCCACCCAAAGTCGCTGATATTTGTCGGGTCTGCGGTGTCTCAGTGTCTGCGTTCCTGGCGGCGTCTTTGATGTGCTCTGTTGTGCGTTACACGCATACAGACCCGAACGCAGACAGCGCAGCAGAAGGCACGCACTGGCTGAGCGTCCTCGCCGGGATAATTCAGCCGCGCGCCAGCCGTCAGCTCCTGACGAGTATTCAAATGAACGTAGTTCTCAAATGGACCGTAGCTGTCACCGTCTCGGCCGCATGCGTTCATGTTTATGAGATGGACTGCCGCGAATGATGTCATCGTGGCCGCTGTAGGCGCACTGGTGGTCATTCATCGCCAACCGTCCGTGGTCGCGGAAAATGACCCAAGGACAAAAACATCACTCATCGTTGAGTCCAAGGTCCCGGCACTCCTTCTGTGTGCCGTCGAGTCACTGGTTCTGCGTCTACCGTCCGAGCTCATGTTGGGACGACCACCAGCAGTGCAACACTCGCTGTCGGTCTTCTGGCGTCCTTCAATAGTCATGCTTACTGCGAGCAATTCTAGGCTGTCATGTAGAAAGAAAGGGCTGTAGGAGCCGTTGACTCGGCACTGCGACCGTGTTGTGGCCAATGGAGGAGGATCTGCATGCGGCCAACTGAGGCGGTGTTCGAAGCCGTCCCAGTGGGTGATGTGGCGGGCGTAAGGCCGCGCCGGGGTAGTGTCAAGCGTGACGGCCATGTCGTGCCAGTGTGACGGCCATGTCAAGGCAGCATGACAGCCTAGTCCCACCTGCGGGGCGCGCATCACCGCCCGTGAAGGTGCGTCGGCGTGAGTGTGGAACGGTGTACCGGTCAGAGCGGGCTACCGGACAGCGTTATGTGGAGGCCGCTATCGTGGGAGACTGGGTGGAGATTACACGGGGAGCGTCACCATTCAATGGAGATCGCTGTATGTGCGATCAGACCCAGAAACGTGAGGGCGCAACTTCCATGAACGCTGTGCTGACAGGAGCAAGGCGCCCCCGGATCTGACGGCTACATAGAGTGGTAGCACATGTCTCGAGGTTCTTAGCGTTAGTCAGCAAGGTGGCCGATCTGTTTCAGCGTAGGTTGTCAGCATTGTCACGGGTCTGTGTCGTGGTTGGTTATCAGTCAGCTTGTAAGTAGGCTTGTTTTATTCCATTTCGCGAGAAGCCAGTGGTACCGTGAACTAAATTGGCTTAGCTATTTGGTATGAAAGTGTGGTGGTGGTCTTACTTCATCTGGCCTTTCTCTGGGAATGAAACGTTGCTGGCAGAGGCGGTGACGGTGAACGCGGTAGTGGTGGCGTCAGCGGTGGTGGAGGCGATGGGTGCTGTGGCGTCAGCGGTGGCTGTGGCTGTGGTTTTTAACCGGCAAACGTCCGGTGGGTCGGATCCGATTTCACACCCTTCACAGCAAACTTCCGGATGGTCCGACCATCGGTTCCTCGTCTTGTCTCCTGGCCGTCGAGACCATGTCGTCATGTGTCTCCGTTGCTGTGCGCCAGATACAACCGATGTGGTCCCGGCCGGAACGCTAGGCCCGGTAATTTCCTTCTGATGATGCAGTCCGGTCGATATTTTCCGTGTAGGTAATCGCTCAGCTGACGTGAAAACTTCACCTTTTCTCTGATATCTGCGAGGATTTGGAACAAACATACAGTAATATGTAGTCGACAAGCCTCACTAATGCAGCTGAAAATGTAACATTTGGTCGTGCATATTAAATCACTTCCACATCTTGTACATGCACTGTAGTTACCGGAAGGATCACTTTAAATGCTGCTTGTAGCCCTTCATGTATGCCACACAAAAGACTGCGGTCGGAACTGCCTTTTTACAACTAGCGGGAAGTTGCAAGTCGATTACACGTATATGTATGCTGGGTCGGTATGCTGTTCGTGGAGACGTGCCTCTCGAGGTTACGGTCCGGCCAGATTTGCGGTTCGCGTTTCTGTAAGACAGCGGGAGTGTCGGGGTGGTGGGGTCCCAGGCACACCTGTTCTGAGTCATCCAACAGCCCGGCCCAGCTGGTGTTTCTCTACAGACAGGGGTGGGTCTCGGGCGGGAGGCAGACATCCCACATCACTATCTACGGCGCTGCGCCACACCGAGCAGACAGAGCAGAGGCTCCGCTCTGCAGCACAGCGTCGGAAGCTGCAGTGTTTTGAGCGTTCCTGTTTTCGGGATTCTGCTGAAATGCAAGTTTGCAGCACAGGCGAGACCTTGACGAAACCTTGATGGAGTCGATACGGCGTTCGCTGCGACTGCTCTCGGATAACAATCTGGGGCGTGCTGCGAACTGAGTAACCAAGACGCAGCAAGTTGCTAAGGCAGCTACGGTCGCTGACGGGGGTGGCAAGCGGTCGCCACGGCCGCCTGGAGCGTTGGTTACGCCCTGGTCACGGCCTGACTACGCCCTCAGCTGACCGACGCCGGGAGAGGAGTGAGTTCTGGGCACGGCAGCCGCCGGGGGATGACGAGCTGCCGTCGCCGCAGGGGTAGAATCGCGATGTCAGAGATGGTGTCTACTCGCCGCGGGCTGGGGTACCCACCCAGAAAACAGTGGGATCCACCCAGAGTAGTTCCCGGGATGGTGTCAGCTGGCCGCGGGCTGGGGTACCCACCCAGTCCGCCCTAGGTAGGTCCGCCTAGAGAGCCACGTTCCAGCACGGAGGCTATACGAGACTGCGGCCGCTGATCCGGTGACGTAATGCCACAGGCTCCCGGCCAAGCCGATTGCCGGGGATCGGTGAGGAAACCGCCGGAAGATTCACAGAAACATCCGCGGAATCCGCCGTGCGTCATTCGGGGATGCCGTGAACGAGTCTTGCGCTAGCGGAGATGCGACTTGTCCGCTGTGGTGTCATGACACGAGGAATAAGATACATCTGATGTAATATGTCTCAGTCTCATCTTCTCGGAGGTGTTCATATTTCTTGATGACATGGCATATGTACACGCCGTGTGGTTGTGTAGGCCGACGCTGCCAGCGGAAGCAGTCGGTCACATGGACGGGATTGTACACGTATGGGGAGACTTGTGGGGTCTCTGTGGTCACAAAAATCCCGTCTGCAGATAAAACACGACGTTTGCGCCACAGTGCTGAGTCATCGCTGTGAGTCTGCGACGGTCGCAGTATGATGATCTAACGCCAAACAGCCGTCCACCGGCCTGTGTCTGTCGCGGACGTTTGTAGACGGGTAGCTAAATCTCTTCACAGGGACTTATCACTCATCAGCATGGTGGTTTATCAACATGCTGCTTTGTTTACTGAGATGGACTTGAACGGAGCCTGCCGCCGAGTTAAGTCTGATTGCAAGCTACAGTGAAATGTTTGGCCAAAACTGGCGTGATCCTTTCTGATCGCTTCCTATTAGCTCCATAGCTGAGCTCCATAGCTCAGCTCCTTAGCTCAGGTGTCATCTTTAAGGCCTTTCTCATTATACGTATGCGATTTGCTTGGGCTTGCAGCGGTGTCATTTATTGCTTTGCAATCTTAACAACTATAGATGTTTACAGAGGTATATGCTTAAACGTTGTGCGTACGGGAAAATTCACTCTTAATCACAACTGAAATTCCTGGAAAAATAGGCATTGCGTAAACAACATGGGCTTTGGGCATTGCTCAACCCTTTCTTGAGCAATTTAACACGACCATTTAAAACCGGAAGCATGGCTCCATTTTCCGGGAAAGGAACTCGCACCCTTGCTCGCACCTGTCGTTTGCAGGGTGACGTTTTAATTGCTTTTCGACACGCATGCTGCCTGTCTCGACGAAGGATTGGGGGATTCGACACATGACTCATTCACCTTACAACTCTGCGCTTGGCTCACCGTGAGTTGAGTTTGAGAGTGTGGTATTCACTGTTGGCTTCTGCGACCTTGGTTGGCTAGATTTTCCTCCCATGTCGTGGTTCAGAGTGACGTATTAACCCACACCTTTTCTCGACACAGTCATGCCGCCCAACCCTACCCTGTCACGGTCCATGTTTACTTCGGATATCGGATCCATATCCCATTCCTGTCCCAATTCTGTACGGCTTCCTATGTGTCTGTTCCCATCCCAGTCTCATGTCTC